ATAACATTTTAATGCTCTTGTAGAGAACGTTTAATATAATCTTTATTATAATTAAATCATTCATTCTGCAATTAGATCTTTGATATATGTATTATCAATTTGTTTTCAGACATCAAGAATCTTAATCATGAGATCTGTATTAACGCAAGCAGTCAGAGATCATTATAAGGATCGTGGTTATCATGAGGTAACTCCTCCAACTTTGGTGCAAACCCAAGTAGAAGGTGGTTCAACTCTCTTCAAATTAGATTATTTTGGGTATGTATAAATAAAATGATTTATTAACCGTGCAGTACACGAGTCAATTGATTAATGTTGTTTTAGAGAAACTGCTTTTCTTACTCAGAGTTCTCAATTATATCTTGAAACGTGCCTTCCAGCGATGGGAGATGTATATTGCATTGCCCAATCATATCGGGCAGAGCAATCAAGAACACGTCGCCACCTTGCCGAGTTTGTATACAAATAGTTCTTTGTATTAAACAAATTAAAATAGATACTTGCTTCTTTTGTTACTATTTTTTAAATATCAAATTTTTAGATACACGCATATCGAGGCAGAATGTCCATTTATTACATTTGACGATTTACTTGATCGATTAGAAGATTTAATTTGCGACGTAGTTGAGCGAGTTCTGAAATCGCCTCTCGGTCATCTTGTCAAAGAATTGAATCCGAACTTTCAAATTCCTAAGAAGCCTTTCAAACGAATGAATTACAGTGATGCAATTGAATATCTGAGAGAAAATAATATTACAAAAGAAGATGGCAGCTTTTATGAGTTTGGAGAAGTATGAATTAAGATCTCTTACATTATTTTTCTAAATATAGTTATTATCATCTTTTATAGGATATTCCAGAAATGCCAGAAAGAAAAATGACTGACGCTATCAATGAGCCAATAATGCTTTGTCGATTTCCCGCTGAAATTAAATCGTTTTACATGCAACGTTGCAAGGATGATGAACGCTTAACAGAGTCTGTCGACGTACTTTTACCAAACGTGGGTGAAATTGTGGGCGGTTCAATGCGTACCTGGGATCACGAAGAGTTGATGGAAGGTTACAAACGTGAAAACATTGATCCGACTCCATACTACTGGTATACAGACCAGGTAAATATGAAGAAAATAAATTCTAAACTGTATTTGGAATAACATAAATCGAGCAATTATGTTATTTTATAGCGGAAGTATGGATCTTGTCCTCACGGCGGTTACGGATTGGGATTAGAACGACTTTTGTGCTGGCTGTTGAACAGGTATCACATACGTGAGGTATGCTTATATCCGCGTTTCTTGGAGCGTTGTCGTCCATAAAAGAATATCGATATATATGAGAATATCAATATTAAAACGATATGCACATTACAAGAGAAACGTTCTGCTTTTTCCTATTACAATATAAACTACAGTACTGTGTATTATATTCAAAAATATTTTCTAAATATTAAAATTATAACTTATGGAAAATCACTTAGATAAAAGGATTATGTATAACCAAATGTATTCCGAATATCCATTATTCTCCATCCTTATGCAAAATATCATGTATTATTGTAATTTTAACAATAATACAATATTTGTATAATGAATAATATACATATGTTGTCAAAAGCTGGATATTTCTGATACTTATAATTTGCACATATTTATTGTATAATCGAATATACAATGCCATCGACTGTGTATATATACAGTAGTTCAAATAAAAATTTACATAAAACATTACATAATCATATATATATGCATTGTATAAATACTGGCTTTGTTTTTATATAGAAAGTTTCATAATATTCCATGACAGAAAGTTGCTTAAAATTATTATTAGGCGATTATATAAATTATTTATTCTTTCTGTAATAATTATACGGTATAGAATTATATTGTAATTTTGAAATAAAGTGCAAAAGTTGATAAGTATCTGTATAAGTGCATTATGTGTAAATCAAACGGATTTAACTTGATTATATATGTATATATATGAAAACCGATAAAAGTGTCATTCAACAAGTGTATTTAACAAAAATAAATCCTTTGTTATAGCTCATAATTTTAGGTATATATAGTTTATAACAGAATCATACTAGTAACAATTACTTTGTGAAAAATTTATAGCGACGGAAACAATACTAATTTAAAAATTATGGCGTTATATATTGTATCTTCAAATAAGTTCATATTGAACGGTGCTTGATCACAATTCGCGCGTGATATTTACAAAACTGGATATGAGAAAAATACATTTATCTAGCCATCTGTGAAACATTTATGAAGTTGTTTAAATAGATAATTTAAAAAAAAAGTAATTCTCGAGGCTATTATTCTAACATTTGCTAATCGCCGATGTTAAATAATTCGGTAAATACATACGCGATAAAATAAACGCGTTACATTTCTCTCTCACGAAGTAACTATATTACACATTTTCAGATAAAGAGATACAAAGAGTTTATTAGAAGGCAACACAGATTTTAAGCTCTGTATTTTACTCATTATCCAAAATTGCCCGTCGTGTTTTACATATCTTATGAATACATTGTATATTATATATATATATAGCGATGAGACGAAAAAGCATCAAAGTAGGGAATCTTGAATACATGAGGATCCGTTCGAACTAATTTATCAAACTATATTACAGAACAATAACTTACATTACGCACGCACTGTCTCTATTTCAACAAATAATACACAACGTTTCTTATTAACACAAAGAAACATCTCGTTTTCCTATGGTCAATAACCGCTATGAAAATCGGCTAAATCGTCTTTAAATTATCCGCCGCTAAACAGTAGAATTCATTAACTGATCTTTATATAAATACATATATTACATATTAAAATATGAAGGTACGTGAAGATTATTACATATCATTTATCGAATCGTTTAATATTACTTTCATGTGAAAGGAATGATCATTATTATAATATGCTGCTCCGTACGAAATCCACTTTAGGGAAAACACAGTGCCGTTTCCGCAGCCTTGTCGGCGCTACAATTATTTATCTGCTCGCTGTTTTGGTTTTCTTTTTTCTTCTTTTTTTCTTTTTTTCTTAGATCGGGGAAACACTTTGAGACTCTATCTAAGATTATAGATTTTACATTTTGCTATATTTAGACTATAAGAGCTTCAGTTTTGGACAACAACAACAATATTCGTGCAGAATTTACTACTTTATTATGTAATAAAGTAGCTCTCGATGAAACGATATATATATATATATAT